ATTTAAAAAATGTGTTATATGTATCATTATTATTGAGTGATAAGAGTACTTTTTGTATTCTGAATACAAACCATTTGCTAGATTTATCTTTGAAAATGTCTCACAATGTGGGACTTTCTTTTTCCTTTTCTTATTATATCTGTGTCAAAAAATTCTGTGTAAATTATATCCTTATTCATATTTTTCTTGTTTAAGAAATAGACTTTTCTGCTATGTTTTGTTCTAGAAGCTATATAGTTTTGCATCATATTTTTAGATCTATGATCCATTTTAAATTGATTGTATGTAAGTTAGTAGACAACTTAATTTTTCCATGCAAATATCTAATATTTTTAGCAACCTTCATTTACAAGACTATCATTTAATCATGTGGTACCTTTGATGAAAATCAGTTGGCTGTATGTGTGAGTTTATGTATGGGCTCTCTATTATGTTCCCTTGATCTATATACCTATGCTCAGGCCATTATCGTACTATCTTTTTAAAAAATTGAGATATAATTGATAACATTATATTAGTTTCAGTGTACAACATGATTGAATATTTGTATTGCAAAATGATCACAGCAATAAGTCTTATTTACATCCATCACCACACTTACCTTTTTTTTTTCTTGTGATGAGAACATTTAAGATCTACTCTCTTAGCAACTTTTAAATACATAATATAGTTTTGTTAACTGTACTCATCATACTATACTTTACATCCTCAGGACTTAATTGATGCTGTAATTGGACATTTGTACCTTTGGACCACCTTCACCCATTTTACCCACCACCTGTCCTCTGCCTCTGGCAACTGCCAGTCTGTTCTCTGTATCTTTGAGTTCAGTTTTTAAAAAACATTCTACATATAAAGGAGATCCTACAGGTTTTTGTCTTTCTCTCAGTGTAAATGCCCTAAAGATCCTCCATGTTGTTGCAGATGGCAGTATTTCCTTTCTTTATTGTCAAATAATATTCATGTGTGTGTGTGTGTGTGTGTGTGTGTGTGTGTGTGTGTGTAATGTACTTACCATATTTTCTCTATCTAGTCATTCATTGATGGACAGTTGAAGTGGCTTCCATGTTCTGGTTATTGTAAATGCTGCTGCATTGTAGTACATATATCTTTTTGAGTTAATCGTTTCATTTCCTTAGATAAATACCCAAAAGTAGAATTGCTGGATCTTATGGTAGTTTTATTTTTAATTTTTGAGGAATTTCTATACTGTTTTCCATAGTGGCTGCACCAATATACATTCTCACCAATAGTGCACAAATGTTCCCTTTTCTCCAAATCCTTGTTAACACTGTATCTTATCTTTTTGATAATAGTCACTTTAATAAGTGTGAGGTAATATCTCATAGTATCTTAAGTATTATAGCTTAATAATGTCTCATACATGTGAAGTCCCCTAGTCATATTTTGTAAATTTTCATAAAAAAATTAGCTGTCATTGTTGAATAAGAGTGCTGATAGCAGGCAGTTTTGCCTTGTTCATAATCTTTTGGGGAAATGCTTATTCTTACATCTGTGGGACTTTTGTAGATGCCCCTCATCAGGTTGAAGAAGTTCTCTTTTATTCAGTAACCTTTTGTTCCTGGGAAAAAACTCATCTGGTTTTGTATTGCTGGATTTGATTTGTTAATATTTTGTTGAGGAATTTTTGATGTGTATTCACAAGACATACAGCTATAGATCTGTAGTTTCTTTTCTTGTGAAATATTTTTTTAGTTTTGGTATCAGGAGCTACTGACCTCATAAAATAAACTGGGCAGTAACTCCTCCTCTGTCTTCTGAAAGTGTGTAGGATATCTAAATATTTTAGTTTAAATAATTGGTAGAATTTACAAATGAAGCCATTTTGAGCATTTCTTTGTGCAAAGTTTTAAATTATGAGTTCAGTTTCTTTTATAGATACTGGAATAGTCAAATTATCTGTTTCTTTTTAGATTGGTTTCAAAGAACTAGATTTTAGTTTGATTTTACCATTTTTCTTTTGCTTATTCAAGTTTTATTTCATTGATTCCTTGTTTTATTTCCATAATTCTCTCATTATACTTTCCTTGGATTTAATTTGCTCTTCTTTTCTTACTTAAGGTGCAAACATTGATCACTTCGTTTGTTCAGGTGTCAAGGACATAGTATCTTAATTGCTATGCCTTTACAATATAAGTCTTATCATGTAGAATGCATATTTATTTTCAAATGTGGTAGGAATAGTCAAATTATCTGTTTCTTTTTAGATTGGTTTCAAAGAACTAGATTTTAGTTTGATTTTACCATTTTTCTTTTGCTTATTCAAGTTTTATTTCATTGATTCCTTGTTTTATTTCCATAATTCTCTCATTATACTTTCCTTGGATTTAATTTGCTCTTCTTTTCTTACTTAAGGTGCAAACATTGATCACTTTGTTTGTTCAGGTGTCAAGGACATAGTATCTTAATTGCTATGCCTTTACAATATAAGTCTTATCATGTAGAATGCATATTTATTTTCAAATGTGGTCATTTCTGGTAGATTTTTTTTGGAGTATAGTTAATATACAATATTACATTGGTTGCAAATGTGCAGCAAGTATATACATTGGGAAATGCTCACCATGATAAATATAGTTGCCAACTGTCACTTCTGGTAGATTTCTGCTTAGGGTTGAACTGTATCAGTTTAGAAAGTCTACCAACTTATGGTATATAGATCCATTTGTTTTGGTCTCTCTTTGTTTAGTCACTTTTTTGTATAAACATATTAAAATCTTTACCTAGCTTTATTCAGTATATTAATATGTTCAGCATATGATAATGTTAAAATTTCACTTTATAATTGTTTGTCCTTAATTTATAAAAATACAGTTGCTATTGGATCTAGTGATCTTTGTAGAGCCACACATTAAATAATTAACATTGAAGCCATATAATAAACCATATAGTAATGATATGTCTTTACTTTGAGGTTGTCTATATATATACTTCTATTTATAGATTTGTATTTATACAGTTAAGTTCTTAGCAAATGATGACAGGTTTATTTTTTACTTTCTTGCCTTATGCACAGTACCTTCCAAACTACTATCTTGAGTGGAAGTGATAATAATAGTCTTGCCTAATACCTGATTTTTGGGTGAAAGTTTTCAGTGTTTCACCATTATATATGATTGCTAGTTTTCTTTGTTAGTTTTAAAGCTGGTATCCTTAAATGGGGAGAACTGGAACCCTCCTACACTGTTGGGGTGGGGAGGGAAATGTAAATTGGTGCAACCACTGTGGAAAGCAGTATGGAGGTTCCTCAAAAAACAAAAAATAGAACTACCATTCGATTCAGTAATTCCACTCCTAGGAATTTACCTGAAGAAAACAAAATCCCTGATTCGAGAATATATACGCACCCTATGTTTATCACTGCACTATTTGCAATAGCCAAGTTATGGAAGCAACCTAAGTGCTCATCAATAGATGAATGGATAAAGAAGATGTGGTACATATACACGATGGAATATTATTCAGCCATAAGAAGAAAACAAGTCCTGCCATTTGCAGCAACATGGATGGAGCTAGAGGGTATCATGCTCAGTGAAATAAGCCAGGTGGAGAAAGACAAATATCATATGATTTCGCTTATTTGTGGAATGTAAAAACAAAGCAGAACAGAAAGAACAAAACAACAGTGGACTCTTAGACACTGAGAAGTGACTGTGGTTACCATTGGGGAGGGATCAGGGTGGGGAGTGGGGAAGGTGAAGGAAATAAAAGAGCCCCTAAATTATAATGTAAGTTGCTCACAGGGTGAGTAGTACAGCATGGAGAATATAGTCAGTCAGTGATTCTATAATGTCTTTCTATGTTGATAGATAATAACCCCACTAGAGGGGGTAAGGATTTAATAATACGGATAACTGTTGAAACCAATTTGAACAGTTTGTACATTTGAAACCAGTATAAGATTGTGTATCAATGATACTTAAATTAAAAAAAAAAACAAAAGTCACAGGGATGAACAGTACAGCATAGGGGATATAGTCGATAATGCAATATCTGTATGGTGACAGACAGATGGTAACTACACTTACTGTGGTGAGCATTTCCTAATGTATATAATTGTTGAATCACTATGTTGCACACCTGAAAACAATGTAATATTGTTTATAACTAGATTTCTATTAAAAAATCCAGTTATAAAACAAATATTTTAAAAAGTTGGTATCCTTTATCAGATTGATGAAATATTTCTTACCATAAACAGGTTTTTAATTTTATTAAATGTTTTTCTGCCTTTATTGAGATAATCTTCTGGGTTTTATTTTGTATAGTACTATTTCTTTTTTGTTGATGTAATTTTTTATTGAAGTATCATTGATATACAATATTATATTGGTTTCAAGTATACAACAGTGACTCAAGAATTATATACATTATTAAATCCTCACCCCAACTAGTGTAGTTACTGTCTGTCAACATTGAACAATGTTACAGATCTATTGACTATTTTCTCTATACTGTACTTTCATCCCCATGACTAATTTATATTATGATTGAGATTTTGTGCCTGTTTATCCCGTTCACCTATTTCACCCACCCACTTCAACCCCTCCCCAGTGGTAGCCACCAGTCACTTCTCAGTGTCTATGAGTGCACTGCTGTTTTGTTCATTTTGTTTTGTTTTTAAATTCCACATGTAAATGAAATCATATGTTATTTGTTTTTCTCCACCTGGCTTATTTCACTTAGCATAATACCCTGTAAATGTATCCAGGTTGTCACAAATGGCAGGATTTCTTTCTTTTTATGGTTGTGTATAGCACTAATTTGTATAGTACTAATTTTCTTTGTGTAGTTTCATTTTTTTCTTCCTCTAACTTTGCGTTCTTGAAATGAATTGATTGGGTTATATTATGAATTTTAAAAAGAGCCGATCAATTTGCTTTATTATACTAAGAGTTTTAAGATTATCTGTGAATCAGAAAATGGAGTTTACTGGCCCTCCCAGCTTTTTGAAAATAATGGCTTTTGTCTTTTTATAGCACAAGTCCCCCTTACTGTTGTGTGGATCTATATTCACTTCGTACTGGGGAGATGGTCAAGTCCATTCAATTTAAAACACCTATCTATGATCTCCATTGCAACAAGCGGTAAGCATTTTTTAATGTGTTTCTTCTACAAGGTAACATTCCTCCTGGGTATGTAGAGTTCTATGAATAACATTGATTATATTTGATTTTTTTAAAAAGTTACAAAAACACTTTTTGAATTCTGCCAAATTAGAGTAGCACTTAAGATTTCTTTGATTGTTTTCAGGCTTCCAGTCTTGACTTATTAGTGAATTGCGAATTGTTTAGTGAGTCAAAATCAGCATTTAAAAAATTAAATGGAAAAGAATAAAAAGTTATTTGAGCAAACATACAAAGGTTAAGTATTACTTTGTGGATCCTTTTCACATGTCTGAGTTTTTAATATGTATAATATATGTGTTTCTGATTGATGTGAAATATAATTTTTCTGTTAGCATTCATCAAACAATACATATTTCTGAACTGTAAAAAAGGCATTTAAATGTAGGCATACTTCGTTTTGTTGTTATTTGCTTTATTGCACTTTGCAGATACTGCATTTTTACAAATTGAAGTTTCAAGACTTCAGTGGAGGGAGTAAATGTAGATGTAGTGATATAGCAAGAGAACTAGAATTACGAGTGGAACCTGAAGATGCATTTGAATTGCTGCAATCTCATGATAAAACTTTAACAGATGAGGAATAGTTCTTACTGATGAACAAAGAAAATAGTTTCTTGAGATGGACTCTACTTCTGGTGAAGATGCTGTGAAGACTATTGAAATAACAAAGGACTTAGAGTATTACATAAACTTATTTGATAAAGTAGCAGCAGGGTTTGAGAGGACTGACTCCAATTTTGAAAGAAGTTCTGCTGTGGGTAAAATGCTGTGAAACAGCATCATGCTATAGAGAAATCATTTCTGAAGTCAGTCAGTGTAGCAAATTTCATTTTTTCTTACTTTAAGAAATTACCACAGCCATCCCAACCTTCAGCAACTACCACTGTCATCAGTCAGCAGCCATTGAGGCAAGACCTCCCACTAGTAGTAAGAGTATCACTTGCTGAAAGCTCAGATGATAGCTAGTATTTTTTAACAATATTTTTTAATTACGGTATGTACATTGTTTTTAAAGACATAATACCATTGTACACCTAATAGACTACAGTATAATATAATTCTATGCACTGGGAATTCATTTGACTTGCTTGCAACATTTGCTTTATGACAAGCCCTCAGCTACCATCACACTGAATGGTAAATGATTGAAAGCTTTTCCTCTAAGATCAGAAATTACTCAAGGGTGCCCACTCTCACCGTTTCTATTCATCATGGTACTGTAAGTCCTAGCTAGAGCAGTCAGTCAAGAAAAATAAATAAAAGGTATCGGAATTGGAAAGGAAGAAGCAAAATCTTCTCTATTTGCGGATGACATGATTTTATATATAGAAAAGCCAAAGACTCAACGAAAAAACTCTTAGATCTAATCAAGGAATTCAGTTAAGTTGTAGGACACAAAATTAACATACAAAAAATCAGTAGCATTTCTATACACTAACAATGAATTTTTTGAAAAAGAAATAAAGGACTCAATCCTATTTACAATGGTATCAAAAAAATAAATACTTAGGCATGAATTTAAGGAGGTGGAAGATCTCTACCCTGAAAACTACAAGACATTGATGAAAGAAATTGAAGAAGGCACAAGTAAATGGAAAGGTATCCCATATTCATGGATTGGAAGAATTAATACTGTTAAAATGTCCAGACTGCCATCCTCATTGAGGGAAGACCCTCCACCAGCAAACAGATTACAACTCACTGAAAGCTCAGAGGATGATTTGCATTTTTTAGCAATAAAGTGTTATTTAATTAGGTATTTATATTTTGTAAAATATAAAATATTATAAAAAATATTTTTAGGTATCATGCTATTGCAGACTTAAAAGACTTCAGTATAGTATAAACATAACTTTTGTATGCACTAGGAAACCAAAAAAATTCATTTGACTTGCTTTATTGTGATACTCACTTTATTGCAGTGTTCTAGAACTGAACCTGCAATATCTCCAATATATGCATGTGTTCTTATTTCTTTACACTTCACAATGGAGGTAAAACATGGACTATATAGATTTTCCTTCTTTACGAGTAATTTTGTTAAAATCTTTAGGAAAATATTCAGATCTGTGTTGAAGTTATTCCTGACCTAGAATTAATTTATGTACCACAAAATATCAGAGGAGTAAGAGACCTTAAGAATGTCCTACTACTTAACACTTTCCTTTTGCATTTGAGAAAACTAAAGCTCCGTGTTGGTAACTTTATTGATTAAGGTCATGAATGCAAACTATAAATTCTCCATTTCATGAAAAAATAAACACATGGAACAAGGGTAACAACTATTTTATGTTGTGTTAATATAAAATAAATTTTTTAATAAAAGACTCTCAGGTTAGGTTTTAAAGGATATTTCAAAATGTGAAATTCAGACTGAATATAAACCAAAGGGTAAAGACATAACTGACAAAAACAAATTAAAACAACACATTGGCTTTAACACTAATGATATAAGTATTTAAATTCAAGTACAAAAACATGAAACAGGACAAAGAAAAGCTGTTCAGTGTTAGTGTGCAATTCATAATGAAGATATGTTTATTGTGCTTATTTGTACTTTAAATAATATGAAACTCAAAGTTATAGGTAATAGAAACAGTTATTTCTGGGACAATGTAATTATCCAATGATGCATCAAATTATTCTAAGTCAATATTATTGGATGGGTGAATCCAGTAGATAGTAAACTTAATCTGGAAAACTGTAATGATAGCTCTTCAAGTGTCCTTTGTCCTCCCACAAAGTAGATTACTTATTATTTAACCAAAGAGAAACTTGAACACATTTGAAGAGGGAGGTAAGTACAAAGAAGAATTTTAGATCACAATTTGCTCGTATCACAAATACATAGTATACTAGAAAACAGAAAAATATACTGAAGTTAAATTTTTTTTAAAGCCTATCTTACATTTTTTTAAAGGGTTACAAAGGCTGTCAAGGGCAAAGTTAGGTTTTTCTTAATTCTGCACTTGTTCCAAATTCTATGCTCTAGATGATGCACATGAAAATACAGTTAGGATTGACTTTTCTTGTAACAAATATTTTTATGTTTGTTTAATTTTGGCCATGAAATAATGAACATATTTAATATTTTAATATAGATATGAATTACATTTAATATTGACAGTATTTTTTAGTTATCAGTGTGTCCATCAGAAGTAACTAATGATTATGAAACTTGTGAGTAGGAGTAAAATCATATAAAAGAGTGATTTATGAATATGAAACAGCAATGAAAAGTAGAAATGAAATTCTCTAGATATTTGGTTTATGTAGCAAAGGTTCATACTCTGCTCTTTTTTTTTTAAAGAAACTCCATATGAAGATATGTTCCAACAAGGAATTTGTTGATTTGGATACATTATATTATTTTTCTTGAATTGGTTTTCCAATTAGAAATTGTATGAGTTCAAATGTGGTGAAAGCTATTGTGTGAATTGCAGGTACTGCTTAGATTTTGCTCTATAAACTGTCAAATCTAATTCGCCAGGTCTTTCCCTGGTTAATTCTGCACTTGTATTTATTCACAAATGAGCTGTATGGTATTGTAAGTCTTTTGAACTTACCAATATTCATTATAAATTAAACCTTCCTTTTTTTTTCTTTTTTTTTTCTCCCTTCGGAATTTCACCTAAATAGAATAATTTTATTCAGCTAAACCTTCCTTTTGCAAATCATTTTGTATGTTGTTATATTTTGGGGCGGAACTGCTGGATTATGTGAAAAACTCATCTCTGTTTTGCTTTCTGTATTTTCTCTTATTTGAGTTTGTCACTTTATTATGGATTCCAAGCCCTTTAACTTGGGTCTGATGATTGCTTGGTTTCTTCTGTTAAGGGCCATGACAGTCTTTTTTATGTGTTGTCAGCTGTGTTGGGGATTTTTTCTGCAGCAGCAAATGAACAAGATTAATAAAGCATGCAGGTTAAATACAGCATTTTTCTTTTTTCCCCACCCATTATTAACATCTGTTACTCAGATTTACCTCCCCCAAATTTGGAAAAATACACTATGAGTATGTCAGATACTTAACAACAACCATAATCTTTTATTTGACTTTTTGGAAATACCTTTGAAATTTGGGTCCTTCTGTCAATGTCATGCAAGGAGCAGTACTCTAAAATGTAATTTATAAAACAACTTCATTTCAAATGTATTTTAGTAATTTTGGTTTTGAAAACATAACTAATTAATTTTCTTAATTATGTATAAATCTTGGGTTCTCATACAGATTCTGATTAAACTAATATATTGAATCAATCAGAAATGACTCATTTATACTGAGTAACAGTTGTCTGAATTTCTTTCTTTCTTATTTTTTTCCCCTCTTGCATTGAGAAATTCAGCAATCATTTTAAGTGACAGGTCACATAAATCCACTTTATGTTTAATTCCATGACTTTGAGCCAGTAGTGGGAAAACACTTTTAGTAAATAGCCATCCAGGTTATTGATCTCATACATTCTTAATGAAGATAGATTTATTTGATGTATAATGAATGAAAATAAAATTTTATTTAGAGGAAAATAATGTTTTGAGGTTTAGTTTGTTCTCCTGTCACTTTTTCCTCTAATTCTGTCTATCATGATTATATTAAGGATTTTGTGGTTATATTTTTACATTTTTGGAGGGAGGTGTTTTCTAACATAAATGTTATAAGAAATGTTTGATTTTTAAAAATTGCCTTGGTTTAGATACTTGTTTAAATCCGATGATTTAACTTATTTATGATTCATTTATAGAATTTCACATTTACCTCTTTTTAAATGTTTTTTTCCCTCTAATTTTAGGATCCTCGTAGTAGTTTTGCAGGAGAAAATTGCTGCCTTTGACAGCTGTACTTTCACAAAAAAATTTTTTGTCACAAGTATGTACCAACTTGATTTATTTCCTATCATATGCATTTGAGTTTATACTGTTTACCTAATAGAATTAGCAAACTGATTGTAATCATAGTATCAGTCTTTTGTGGTTATTCAATTATTAGGATTTTTCTGTGTTTCTGTGAATGTCTTATTTAGTACTATAATTTTATGGTATGTCTTTTCAACACTTTTCATACTACTGAGCAAACCTTGTAGTCTATTACCTCAGTTTTTCCTTATATTTTCTCCTTGTGTAGTTGTGATTGAGGTTCATGTAGCTAGTTGTACTTTCAAAGTAGTTGTTAAATCACTTAATTAACATGACATACTTTTGGAGATAACTGGATTATAGTACATGAAGTATTTGAAACTGGGGGAAGTGTGTCAGTCTCTCTCTTTCCTTTCCTACATCCCATTACTTCTACTATTGCCCAGAAGTAGTAGAAGGAGGAATAAGCATAGAATCTGGATCCAAACACATACTCATAAAGAGATTGATTGTGATTTTTTTTTAAAGGGAATTGGCTCATGCAATTCTGGGGGCTGACAAGTTCAAGATTTGTAGGGCAGCCCAGCAGGATGGATATTCTAGAAGGAATTGACTCCAAAAGATGTCAGGAGTTAGGATCACTAGATTGTGAAAAAGTACTTTTCATTTTTATCTTTTATATTTTAACTTCTACTTGTACTACTTTTATGTTTTAACTCACCAGCAAAGCTATACCTGTTTTTCCAGAGAATATGATATGTATATGCTGCAGGAATAGGTCTGTTGGGAATAGTTTTGTTAGAACTAGGGAATCCCACTCATATTGCTGCATCTCCTGAAATATCACAACTGTTTACATGTTTATTAATCAGATGTCTACCTAATATCTACTATATATTAAGCACTGGGTAGTAGACATTATTCCTATCTGATAACAGCCTATGATCTTATATAATCAATATACTACAGTCTATATGTAATTATATACATTATATACTTTGTATTATATATAGCATAATATCACTTATGTAGCTTGTAATTTTGTAGTATGTGAAGAATTACAACTTGTCTCCTTGAGCTTGTAATCATTTCTCTCACAGAGATCTGTATAGATAATAATAAATATCATGTTCACTGAGAAATTTTTCATTTTATCACAAAGCCTAATATACACCATTCACAAATTTAAATTAATATCTCCAGCACCTAAGACATAGGCTGGCACAATGTGGGCTTTCATTAAACATTTCTGAAATGAATGAGTACATTAACCCAGTTAGCAGTCATTTTGTGCTGATCAGAAATTTATTGATGCATTAGTAATTATTGAATGTAGATTTCTAGACAGACTCTTTTATTACTATATCTGTAAGTTAAATAAAAGTTTTTGGGGAGCATATATTTGCAATAACAACTTCATTCTCACATGTAGTATACATATAATATAGGAAGCTTTGGATATTACATGGCCCATTTTAGCATCAATGAATATGTGTGTCTTGGCTTTTGCAAAGTCAGACGTCTCTGTTGTGACTCCATTTTACATTAATACATAGAACTTTTATTTCTTAGTAGCCATTTCCACTTTAAAAATCAGGTCAGGAGCATAGAGCTACTTTTTTTTCTCTTAAAAAAATAGAGATAACTTTTGCTTCCTTACCGGAGTTTTAAGTTGGGGGAAAAATCCCAAATCATTATTTGTTAAGATAGTTTGTTTAATGGCAATGTGTGCTTTGAAGTTTAAACTTTATTTAAACATTAGACTCAACTGGCTGTATATGGGGGAAGTAATATTGCACATGTCAATAGATGTCAGTTTCATTCTTTGTAACAAGTACTAGGGTATAAAGTCAGTTGTCAGAGTGACTGAAGAGAAATGAGTAAGTATAAATAAGTTAATAATGTAAATATTTATTTTAAAGAGCAAATTTGTGATTTTTTAAGTGGTTAAATGAAAAATATAGATTTTTAGTAATTTAGTATCCAAAATAGAATTTTAAAAGAAAAATTGAACTTTATTATAAAGGGACAATTTGAAATAATTAGATTTGAGTATTAAACTTATACTTAGATTTGAAGGACACAAACTGTAATAATTTTGGAACATTGGAATGAGAATGTACCTTTCATAGTACTCTTTTATTGGAGAAAATGAGCAAAATTATCACAATAAAATTTTTAAGTTTGTATGGTCTAATAAAATTTTGCATAAAACAATGTAGATATACCTTTTATCTTTAATTGTATACCTCTACATAATGATTGAAATTTGTTTCTACTATCATGAGTATCTGTCATTTAACTAATGGGTGTTACAGATGTATTTGTTTCAAATAAAGACCTACATGCAAAGATAATGTTTAAAAAACCCTACAATACTGTAGGCTATAAATACAATTTATATTTTAAAATATCTTTGTTTTTGTACATTGATGATATTTGCATCTTTTCTAAAGGAGTATTTTTCAGTTTTGAGGTTTTGCAATAGAAAAATTTGTAGGATGTCTGCTTTAAGTCAAATTACTCTCTGTAGGATAAAATTGTATGTACTTAAAGCTCTTGAATGAATGGGCCAAATCAGTACAGAAACTACCACATTTCAAAGAGAGTGATTAAAGAAATGTCATATTTTCCTGAGGTTTTACTATAATTTCTCAATTAAACCATTTATGGTAGAAATAAAAGTGAAAATACTTTTAAGCAGAAAAAGAGAGACTAGAGTATGTTCTTAGTTTTCATTCTTACTTGAAATTATGAAGATTTTGCAGAAATAAGGTGAATTTTTAGTCACCTTAAAATGGTTAAATGTACCTTTGATTTTTCAGTAATTTTGCTTATTTGATAAACATGTCATTTACTGGTATGGTGAAAATGTTGTATTTTAATAGATTACTATTGCCATAGAATATCATTTCATCCCTTATGAATGTCATTTTTGAAAAAAAAGGTTCCATTTTGGGAATTATATACAGGTATTCAAATAAAGTAGTATAATGAACCATTATGTACTTATCCTGTAGTTTCAAGTTATCAACTAATGGATAATCTTTTTCATTGTTTACTCTTCTCTAATTATTTTGAAACAAGCTGAACATTATATAATTTAATCTGTGCATATTCAGTTATCTATATCTAAATGATAAGAACTCAGAAAATCATGTCTTCTGTATCACTAAATGATCATATAATTTATAATCTAAACTGAGTCTTTTGATTTGAACAAATGCCGTACTTGATTTAACATTGTTCAACAAGTGCATGAACTATAAATGTTCTGGGCCAGCAGGTTCTTATGGTCATCTTGCACATTTCCTGCCAGCTGAACTCCCAAGGTTTTTGGCATGTGAAAACACTCCTTACTTAATCCAATGTCCTTGCTAAATTTTTATTTCTACAGCTTATTTCCATGCTTTTGATACTACATTTACTTTGAACCACTCGTTGTTCTCAGTTCCTTGCAGGTACTTTATTGCTTTGTGCTTGCTGCCTGAAATGGCCTTTTCATTAGCACCCTTTCTCCCTACAGTGTCTTAATCCTACATACCTGTCTAGGCCCTCTGTAGATAGAGTTCTTATATGAACTGTTCTTGACCTTAACTTAAAACAGCTTCTCCTTTTTTTAAATCCCCAAAGATATCAATTTCCAATATGTCCACAGAACACTTAGATCTTCAATATACTGTGCAAATCAGGATGCCCTGGTCAGATATACTTATGAAATACTTCCTTTGGAGAATAGCAGTGGTGATTAGCATTTGAATTTGTTTAAATTTATTTACTGCATTTCTATATTTCCCAGATTTATTTGATTACAAACCTTTTTTGTTATCCATCACCCTTTAGGAATTCTTTTATATCATGTAATCTCTGCCGGTTAAGACACTTACTTTTATCTTCTATGTATTTTCTATCTGCTTGTTCTGTCTTTGCCACTAGGTGGTAATCTCCTTGAGAGCAAAGTTGCTCATCTTTATTTGATTTAAGGAAGTAAGGTCATCATGAAAGACATATCTGTTATGTTCTAGCTAACTTAAAAATATTCTGATGTTTATTTTTGCTTCTTGTAGTAATAAAACTCAGTTTCCTAAAAACAAAAACATTTATCACAACTGTTTACTGGTTTCAAAGTATCAGTGTTCCTTTTCCAAGATGTTTATTTAGCTAAAATGGTTGAGAATGTAGTGCAGCTCTGTCGAAAGTTACCAAATAATGAAGAAAATTATTCAAAGAAAATCAGTACTGATCTCTAGGGAAAGTGATACAGGTTTGTGTTGGAAATTAATAGTAAGTGTGTGGTGGATGTTTAAAGGAATGAATTTATGTATGCACATATAGCATGTTGGAGTAAATCCAGAAAATGTTTAAGTGTGAGTTTATTTGAAAATGGTATCTTTTCAGTATCTTGAGTATCATTTCCTCCTCTGGGAATAGGATCTTCTGTTTTACAAGCCTTTAGCAAGCTCAAAATATCAGTTAAGTTTGATACAAATGAGTGGGAGACTGAGTTATTATTACTTCTTCATAATACCTTTGTTCTTTCTTCTTTAGTTAATATCCTTTGGGGATATCTTTGCCATGTAGTCCTAAATGCTTCCCTGTGCATTACTGTATCCACTGAATAGTTGAAACGTATTGTTAAAGTGTTAGTCTCTCTTGTATTCTGTGAGTTGTGCATGATAGGATGAAGAGATCTGGAAGGATCAGCAGTGTTTCTAGAATAGCAATCAGGTGCTTTCTAAGTAACATACATGCAACTTAAATGTAAGTTCTGGTCAAGTGGCCTGGGGCCTCCAGTAATGAATTTTCAGTAATTCCTGATCCATTAAGATTATTACTTACTCTCTCAGGGTAGTGTTTATAAAATGGCTCTCATGATTTGGGGATACTGTAAAGTCTACTTAGTGTGGCCCCCATTATATATGAAATGTACATTACTTAAAATGTTGAAAAATGGTGTGGTGTAAAAGTACAACTATAGTTTCTGGGGATTAATGTTGGGAATAACTGTAATAA